TGTGCACACGGGGCGGGGGGCACCCCAGGTCCTCAGAGGCGCCAGGCCCGGCCCAGCCCGGGGCCACGAAGAACTCGGGCATCGGGCCCCCAGGTGCTCGGACTCGGCGCCGACCTGACCAGCAGCTTAGAGGCTGAAGGACCCTCATCATTCCCAGCTGTCAGCCGGGCCCGTGGCTCGGGGTGAGCGTCGACCCGGAGGTCACGTGGGATCCCCATCAGGGCACCTGCCCGGTTGTGGGCTTCAGCCCCAGTAGGGGGCGCGCAGGAGGCAGCCGGGCCATGTTTTTCTCATCAATGTCTCTCCCTTCCTCTCTGAAATCCATAAGAATATATATTTTTAAATAGCTTTTACTTGGGGATAACCATCAGCGTTATTTTTTATTAGAAAAAAGAGAGTTCGCTGTCAAAGTTCAACACAGAGGCTGCGCTTGTGCCTCGCTGCCTGGCCAGGAGGGGGAGGCCGAGGGGAGGCCGGCGAGTTCGTTTCCAGGAGCTCAGCTCGCCCGGTTGGCTGCCTCCCAGGACCCGAGGCAACCAGGGCTCCATGTCCGGGAGGCGGCCGCGGCCATGAAGGCGGAAGTAGGTTCCCCAGGGAAATTAACCAGCCGCTGGGTAAACCTTCAGGAGAACATGCAATTACGGTTTTTCTTTCTTTTTTAAAAATATATTTCTATGGATTTCAGAGAGGAAGGGAGAGGGAGAGAGAAACATCCGTGATGAGAGAGAACCATGGACCGGCTGCCTCCTGCCCGCCCCCCACTGGGGATGGAGCCCACAACCCGGGTCTGTGCCCCGACCTGGGATCGAACCGTGACCTCCTGGTTCATAGGTCGGCGCTCAAACACGGAGCCCCGCCGGCCGGACAAAATTACAGCTTTTCAACAGTGTCCCATCTCTGTCTCTGCCGCCAGCTGCTGGAACCCCCAACGGCAGGCGTGCCCCCCCAAGTCAGCTGCTCTTGGCAGAACCACAGCCTTGACGGGGCGGGGGGAGGGGCGGGAGCCTCTAGCGTTTCCCTCCGTTAAGAGCCTTGGCTTAGAAAATAAGCAGAAGTGGTCCCGTCACCACAGTCAAGGACTCACAGTTCGCTGCCCC